GGCAGGATGGATTGTACCTACTTAATCTGAGGCCTGACTTCATTGATTTCACTTTTGTTTTTGGAGAGACTTTTGCTAAAGGGCACGTGTTCTCTCCAGAGAGATAAAGACAGAGAGACAGAAAATGAGGAATCATCCCCTAGGGGGATGGCCATGCCACAATCCCTTGTCCTCCATTCTCCTCTCAGGATCTTGGGCATGCACTTACATATGCATGGCTTGAGTTTTAAGACGCCGGATCTGGGACTTGAACCAACAAGATAACCATTGTGCCATCTGCTGTTCCCAATATTTGGGAATTACTTTTACAATTTAGGTAAATTAATGTACTGCATTCAGTACACTAAATCAGGGATCTTGAACCCTGGGACATAGGATGCTGGTCCGTGGCCTGGGTGCAGGGTTGGCAGCAGGTGAGCCAGCGAGGCGTCTGTGTTTGTAGCTACTCCCTGTCTCTGGCATTGCTGCCCAGACTCCGCCCCTGTGGGATCAGCGGTGGTATTGAATTCTCACGGGAGTGCCAGCGCAATCTTTGTGACTGTTGTATTGTATATTGCAATGTGGTCTTGATGGCAGTGGGGCACGTGGTAGATGTGGTGCACAGGGGTCATCCTGGGACCAACACCTTTCCACCCCCAAACCCCTACTCCCCCCGACCCACACACATACTGTGGAAGGATTGCCTTCCATGAGGCTGTTCCCTGGTTCTGGAAAGGTTGGGGACTGCTGCACTAAAATATATCCAAAGAGAGTATTGAATTTATAGAAAACTGTCAGGGTCATGTCTAAAGTAGTTAGAATTTTATTAAAATAATTTAAATGAATATACAACATATTCATTGGTATCTTCTTCTCTGTTTGTTGAAGGTAGAGAAAGATAGAGGTCATGTGGTTAATGAAATCTTTTTCTTTTTCCTAACTAATAAGAAAGATTTTTACTACCAAAAGCACCTGCAGCCTGCCTTCCATATCCAGGAGTTGTGCCACCATGGATTCAGCCAATAGTAAATTGAGGGTACTATGTTTAAGTATGCGTGCACACACACACACACACACACACACACACACACACACTCTGATTACTTCTGTACTCAACTGGTATAGATGTTTTTCCATGTCTTTATACCCTCAACAAGTATTTACATAGCATTTGCCTTGTGTTAAGGATTATTAGTAGTCAAGAGACGATCTGAAGTGTGCAAGTGGATTTGTGCAGGTCGTGTGCAAATACCATGCCATTTTACACAAGAGCTTTGAACGTCTGCATGGTTGGTATCCTAGGAGGTCCTGAACAGCCCTAGGTGGATACTGAAGGATGAGTGTATTTGGTATTAGGGGGAACGCTTCTTAGTAGATTTCACTCTCGTGTACGATCTTTGCTGTTTTTGTTGTACGACTTAAGGCCATTAGTAAGCTAAGGGTGTATTTTAGTAAAAATTGGCTAGTCAACAGTTATGGCCTTAGGAAGTGATAGTCAATTAAATACAGCTTAGAAACAGGTATGAAATTATTGACTCTGTTCTGTTTTGAGTCCTTCCTCTCCAAAGTGCTGAAATGTGTTTTGAAATTACTCAGTTGCATTAGTGGTTGGATTTGAGGCTTTTAACGTGTTTTTCATCAGTACCTCTGGGAACAGGATAACCAAGACCTTTAAGTGGACTATGCATTTTGCATCATTGCATAATTGTGAACACTGTGATGAAATATTGAAATGATCATGGAAGACGATGACCATTAAGCTTTTTCTTTCAACTATTAAAACTCACTCAAGGTTATATTGAGCTGTGGTTTATGAAATTGTTTAGACCAACGCCTTCTTTGATAATTGTTTCTGAAGTGGAGAAAAATGCTTTAGGATAGCACGATTAATAAATATTCTGTTCAGTTTTGGCAACTTAACCAGATTGCCACGGAGAATATTTGATTATTATTAGACTTGTTGGCTTAACTATCCTCTGGATTATAAAGAAAACTGATAATTGTCATACTCCCGGACTTCAGATTCTTTTTATTTGGGTTATTAATTCTTAGTAGTATGCATTTATGTACCCGATATTTGATATCTTATTATAATCAATAATTAATAATTGGAATTAAATGATAGAGAAATGATGTCTTTGAGAATTGTATTTTTGTAATAATAGGCCGAAAGTATATGATTTGTATTTGCACGTCATTCCACATTTTATTCAATTATTTTTTACTGCTAAAAATGTTTTATTCCAGGTTATTATAGAATAATGACTGAGAGTTAACAAGTATAAGAAACCTAAGTTACTAGCAGTGTCAAACTTGAGTTTCTGAGCTTCTATGAAACATTGCACTTTTCCATTTCAATATGAGCCTTCTGTCTAATCGACTTTTCATTTAAAAGGAAAAAATATCTTGTGTGATATGCCACACTGAAGCTTAGTGCACCAATGTTTTGATATGGTTAAGTTTTTAGAGCTGTACTAACTTTAATCTTTGGTTTAAACTCAATAATGAGATTTAAAATATTGCAAAACTTAAATGACACACTGTCTCATTTTATAGTGCAAGTAAGTGCTATACATAATGAAAATAAAATCAAAATGACGTTTAACTGTCTGCTTAAATTTTGAGTCTCTCCGTTGTTGTTTATTTTATCCATGTGGAGTTTTGTCTTTGTCTGACTTAGGTAGTGAAAGTTTTCTCCCAGAACAACTGCAGTTGTGTGTGGGAGTAGACAGTGGTGCTTGAGACGCTGAGGCAAAATGGGAGTCCCAGGTTCCATTCCTGGGTCACCCTGAGGGTCAGGTGTGTGTTGGCCTGCGTTTGTGGTCCCAACTACACAGCATGCTGGGCCAGGAGGACTCCAACATAGTGCAATCCTGCCTTAAAATAAAATTCTTTCTTGTTGTAGTTTTGAATCAGACAAAGTGAATTTGAGAAAAATAGTACTAGTAAATACTTTCTTTGTATTTGCTTTTTTAGATTTTTTTTTAAAATTTATTTAACTTCCTTCCTTTCTTTCTTTTTTAAAATTTGACCAGAGAGAGACAGAATGAAAGAGAGAGAAAGAGGAGGGAGAATGAGAAAGCAAGCTGCCAGGTCCAGGACTTGAACTCTGGTTAGCCATGTGGGAGTCCAGTGCCCTTAGCTGCCTCACCATCTGCTGACCCCTTATTATTAATTTTAATAGACTTTACTTTTTAAAGCACTTTTAGGTTCACAGCAAAACTGAACAGAATAAATAGGGAGATTTCCCATAAACGCGCTCCTCCATTTTCAGCCTCCTTTATCAGCATGGTCCATTTGTTTGAACTGGTGGGCTGACCCTGATGCATCGTGTCCTACAAAGCCCCCTGCTCACATTAGGGTTCACTCTTGGTGATGAATATATAGCGACATGCATTCGCTATTAAAGCACCATACAGAATTGTTTCACTGCCCTCAGAACCCTCTGTGCCCTGCCAGTTCATCCCCTCTCCCTTTAGCCCTGAAACATCGATGACTTTTACTCTCTGCTTAGTTTAGCCCTTTCCAAAAGCTCTTATCACTGGAATCATACAAAATGTAGCCTTTTGAAGTTTTGGTTTTCACTTGAAACTATGCATTAACGTTATCTCCATGTGTTTTTATGGCTTGATAGTAATATTTTTTAGTGCTGTATAATACTCCATTGTTTGGTTGTACAACTGGTTGTTTATACATTTGCCTTCTGAAGGATTGCTTGGTTGCTTGCAAGGTTTGGCAGTTATGAATAAAACTGGTGTGAATATCCATGTGTTGTTTCTAAGTGGGCAAATGTTTTCAACTCCTTTGGGTAATTACCAGGGATTTTCCTAATTATAATCGGGTAAATACAGTTGCTGGATTGTGTGGTAAGAATATGTTTAATTATGATTAAACATATTGTTGCTGGACTGTATGTTAAAAATGTTTAATTTTGTGAGGAACAGCCAGACTGCCTTCCATAGCGACCATCCTCTTGCAGTCCACCAGCAATGAGTGAGGTGTCTCAATGCTGTACACTCTCTCATGTCAGTATTCTGGAGTTTTGTTATTCTTTTTTTTTTTTTTTTTTGCTATAGGGTGGGTGCACTCTCCAGAAAGACAGAGAGAGATAGAAAGTGAGAGATCCCTATCCCCCGAGCGGGAACGGCCACGCTGCAATCCCTTCTCCTCTGATCTCTTCTCAGGATTTTGGGGACAGACACACATGCATCTAGCATGAGTTTTAAGCCTCTGGGTCAGGGATGCAAACTGCGGTTGGCCGTGTGGGTGGGAATCCAGAGACATAACTGTTACCGCATCTGCGAGGCCCTGTTTGTTCTTTTCTTAATAGCACATTGTCTTTTCCTTTTCTTTTTTTTAAGAATTAATTAATTAATTAGTCTCACCCCCCTTTTTAATAATTGCCAGAGACAGAGGAGGAAAGCACCCCTCAATGGGGCCCATCTTGTCAGAATTTTGGCTCATGTGTATACACACACTGGTCTGTTTTTCAAGCCATCAGGGCCAGAATGTAAGCCACAGTCAGCCACGTGGGGTCTGGGTCCCCTAACCAGTAGGCTACGAGCCAGCCCAGCCCTTGCTCTTTAACAGTCACGTCTGTTCTTTCTCCTCCTCTTAGTGTGTTCTAATCCTGCAGTTAGTTTTTAGTGTAGATAATGCTTGAACGTTTACATGAAGATTAAGGAATAGGGACTAGCTGGCGTGATGGTTAAGCTGCTGGACTCCCATATGACCAGCTGTGATTCAAATCTTGCACCTGGTGGCTTGAAACTCACGCAAGGCACATGTGCGTGCGTGCCCAAAATGCTGAGAGAAGAACGGAAAAGGGATTGCGATGTGGCTTCCCCGCCGGGGGCTGATTTCTAACTTTCCCTCTGTTTCTCTCCAGCGAGTGCCCATAGCAAAAACTTTAAAAAAAAAAAAAAGGAATGAAATCGATGTAGATGATAATGTTCATGTTGTCTTTAAAATAATGAACCTGCAGACTGAAATGTTTTCATGTGTATTTTGCTGTTTCGTAGGAGTGGCAGAATTCTATTCAGAAGAACGCCGGCCTTGCGTTCATTGAACTCGTCAACGAGGGAAGGTAATGTATCTTACGTCCATTTATATTTTGCTTTAAAATTCTGTCTTTTCCATATAGGGACAGATATTTCGAGGTTGTGTATGTATTATTTTTGTTGTTAGTGATGTAAGGGTGCTCTCGTACCTTATTACAAACACATCCATATTTAACCATTTTATCATTTTCTTCATGGTTACTTGCTGTTGATAAGGTTCTGGTTTTTATTTTTCAATTAAGTGAGACCGAGTTTGGCAAAACTAAGCTAATGATTTCATTCGCAGATATAAAGAAACGCCATGCTTATTTGGACTTCCTATGAAGCTATGTTTGTAGCGCCAATATTTAGACTTAGTTCTTTTTATTATCTCTCTTCAATCTCAGGCTGGCTATAAGAGAGGGGAAAGCAATTTCGTTCTGTTTGGGAGCAGAGTGGGGGAGGAGGGATACGTAGGCATGGTTTCCACGTAACAAGCAGAAACCGAGAACTTAAAGAAAATTCAGTTGTGGGAAAATGAAAGTGTAGAGATGAAAAGAGAGATAAAAGGGGGAAAAAGGAACTTAAGAGAGCAGAAGGGTTAAAAGGTAAATTGCGGAAATGAAGAGCGGACCGCTTTGTGTTTGTTTTGTGGTGGGAAATTTTGCTTTCATGGAGCTGAAGACCTGGCTGCCCTTGGAAGGAGGATTCTGAGCAAACTTACGCTTTGCGGGATGTTTCTTTCTTTTTTTTTTTTTAAGAGAGTTTTTTTGGTACAGGGTGTGTGCGCTCGCCAGAGAGACAGAGAGAGACAGAGAGACAGAAAGCGAGAAATCCCCTCCCAGGGGGGATGGCCACGCCGCAGTCCCTTCTCCATTCTCTTTTCGGGATCTTGGGCACACACACACACACGCGCCCGGCGTGAGTTTAAGCCACCAGGTCTGGGACTCAAACCATGGTCGACTACGTGGGAGTCCAGCAACATAACCATTACACTAACTGCTGGTCCTCCAGGGATGTTTCTTTATGGTGTTTCTGTTGGCTAGTATTGTTGAAATTCTGATCCTATCACTGAGGTAACTACCTGTGCTAGTAACTAGGAATCTAGGCTTTCTGTCTTGTTAATGCTGTAGAAAAGGAAGAAATGGGTATAGATAACTTTATTTGATTTTAAATACTACTAAGATTCTTCACTACAGAGTGGTTTCAGGTTCTCACAGATTAATACTGAAACTAAGAAACGTGTCACTGTCATGCCGTATGTTAAATTCTGAGACAGAAGTAAGTAAAAAAGATAGCATAGAGAAAAAGCCAGTCTACAAGTTAGTATGGAAGAATCTGGTAAAACTTAACCAGGGAACATGAGGCTTGAGATGTATTTTCAAGGAGGAGTAGAGGTAGCCATGTAGACATTAGAATAATAGAGTTTGGGACCAGTAGTTGTTGGTGTAATGGCTATGTTGTTGGACTCCCATGTAGTCGACTGTGGTTCGAGTCTCGGACCTGGTGGCTTAAACTCATGCTCTGTGTGTGTGTGTGTGTCCAAGATCCTGAGAGGAGAATGGAGGAGAAGGGATTGTGGTGTGGCCATCCCCCCTGGGGGGTGATTTCTCGCTTTCTGTCTCTCTGTCTCTGTCTTTCCGGCAAGCACATGCACCCTATAGCAAAACCCTCTCCAAAAAAATAAAAAAGAAAGAAAGAAAAATAAAGGTTGTGGATAAATTTGAGGAAGTTTGTATGAAAAGCATTCCTACCAGAGGGAGTAGAATATCTGAAGACACTGTGGTGTGCTAAGGTATATAGGATATTTGTGTGTGCGTTTGTGTATCTGAGTGTGTTTTGGGAGATACATTTTGGCATCTAGATCATAAAAGGGCTAGCGTAGCATATTTTGACTTTTAACTGCAAGAGATGGGAAACTTTGGAAAATTCTATGCAAAAGAGTGTCATGATACTTGGATTTTTGGAAAAATAACTGGTAGAAATGTTTGGAATGGATTGAAGGAGAGGAGATCTAGTTGAAATCAAGAACAGGAGCAAAACAGTTGAAGTGATCTGTGTGAGAAATAGAGCTGTATTTTTTTTTTTAAAGGTTTTTGCTATAGGGCGTGTGTGCCTGCCAGACAGACAGAGAGAGACAGAGGGATAGAAAGCGAGACATCAGCCCCTAAGGAGGATGGCCACGCTGCAATCCTTTCTCCTCCATTCTCCTCTCGGGATCTTGGGCACTCACACACATGCACCCGGTGTGAGTTTCAAGCCACTGGGTCCGGGTCGCAATCCATGGTCACCTACGTGGGAGTCCAGTGACATAGCCATTACGCTAACTGCTGGTCCTTAGCTGTATTTTTTTTTTTTTTGAGAGGTTTTTGCTATAGGGTATGTGTGCTTGCCAGAAAGACAGAGAGAGACAGAGAGATAGAAAGTGAGAAATCACCCCCCGAGTGGGGATGGCCACACCACAATCCCTTTTCCTCCGTTCTCCTCTTGGGATCTTGGGCACATGCGCACAGGCGCCTGGTGTTGAGTTTAAGCCACCGTGTCCGGGACTCAAACCATGGTCGACTACATGGGAATTCAGCGACATAGCCATTACACTAACTGCTGGTCCCAAATAGAGCTGTATTGTAGTCTAGAGCCTGGCAAATAGTAGGAGATCAATAAATGTTCCTCAATGAATGAATGATTAATACTTTAGACTGACTTTTAGCCAAGATTTCAAATGCTTATTCATCAAAAAATAGCTCTTTGGCTGAATTTCAGCACTGAGATATTGGATGCTCTTAAGGTTTACATATAGAAAAGAAGTGGTAAGAGCTGTTGATTGAATGTGTACTTGTTCTATTTAATAGAAAACACCAAGTAGCAGATTCTCTAAAATTTATAGGGCTTATTTGTTTAAATAGGTTTCTTAGTTCTTCCTTCAATACATTTTTTCATAAACGGTGATTTTGATCATTATAGTCTTGCTTAGGTATAAATACCCTTAATTTTTCATGTTACTGTTGGGTTATCGGGAAAGTTGCATTTTTTGCATAGAAAAATAAATAATGACTTCCCCGATAACCTAATGCATTGAATGGGTAAGGCAATATAACCTTGCACTTAAAGAGTGATGCTTTGCAGGTAGCCTGGAGTATAAGCTTGATGTTTGTCAGACATTTCTTCCCGAGCCTCAGCTTCCTCATCTGTTCACTTAGCCAGTATTTATTACATACTCACCATGTTCCACTATACTGAAGACACAGCAGATAAAGATCCTTTTCTGTGTGTATCTTACATTTGAACAGGTGGTGGCTGATTATGAATAACAAACAAACAGCTAGGTTATATAATGTGTGCACAGTGGTATGGACTGTGTGGGAGAAGGCAGTGTGGAGCAGGGGAGAGGAATGCAAGTTTGCAGTTTGATAGAACGGTCAGATTAAGACCCCTCAGGAAGGGGATATTCGGACAAGCTCCTGGCACACCCAAGATGGTAGCCATAGGGACATACGTGGCAAAGCGTTCTGGGTCTAGGGACACCCAGTGTTCAGTGAGAGCTTCTCTGGAGTATTTGAGAAGTCAGGCTTTGAAATGGAATAATTTAAATATCTTTGGTGGGACCAGCAGTTAGCATAATGGCTATGTCGCTGGACTCCCATGTAGCCGACCGCTGTTCGAGTCCCAGACCCCGTGACTTAAACTCACGCCGGCGTGTGTGTGTGCATGCCCATGATCCCAAGAGGAGAATAGAGGAGAAGGGATTGCAGTGTGGCCATCCCCCTGGGCGGTGATTTCTCGCTTTCTGTCTCTCTGTCTGTCTCTCTGTCTGTCTGGCAAGCACACGTGCCCCATAGCAAAAAAAAACAAAAACAAAACAAAAACAAAAAAAAACCCCAAACAAACAAACAAAAACCAAACAAACAAAAAAAAACACCTCTCAAAAAAAAAAATCTTTGGTTATTTTAGTTCCTTTCTATTTCCTTATAAGTTTTGGGTCATTTCTGCAAAAGTCTGATGAGCTTGCATTGACTTTATAGACTCATTTTACCATAATAGGCATTTAAAAAAATTTTTTTTTTTTTTAGATTTTTGTCACAGGGCACATGTGCTTGCTGGAGAGAGACAGAGAAAATGAGAGGGAAACTGAGAAATCACCCACCGGGGCATGACCACGCTGCAGTCCCTTCTCTATCCTCCTCCTACGATTTTGGGCTTGCCCAGTGTGATTGATTGATTTCCTTCCTTCCTTTCTTCTTTCCTTCCTAAAGAATCATTTATTTATTTAATTTTGTTATTATTATCGTGTTTTAATTTGACCAGAGAGAGAAAACGGGAAAGTGAAAAAGCAAGCCACCAGGTCCAGGACTCAAACTGCAGTCAGCCATGTGGGAATTCAGCACCTTAACCACCAGCTATCTGTCCGCCCTTCCTGGCATGATTGTCAAGATGCCAGGTCCAGGACTTGAACTGATGTCTACCACCTGAGAGTCCAGCACTATAACCACTCTGCCACCTGCTAGCCTCCTTTATAGGCATTTTAATATTAGGTTATCTGGAAAGTCAGGAGGTATTTTCCTATGCAAAAATGCGTTATGACTTTTCCAACAACCCACTAATTTTGAAGCTTTTTTTTTTTTTTTTTGGAGAGGTTTTTGCTCTAGGGTCCGTGTGCTTGCCAGACAGACAGAGACGGAGAGATAGAAAGCGAGAAATCACCCCCCAGGGGGGATGGCCACGCCGCAGTCCCTTCTCCTCCATTCTCCTCTCGGGATCTTGGGCACACACGCACATGCGCCTGGCGTGAGTTTTAAGCCACTGGGTCCGGGACGCGAACCGCAGTCGACTACATGGGAGTCCAGTGACATAGCCATTATGCTAACTGCTGGTCCCTAATTTAGCTTTTAATACATGAAGGGAATGTTACTCTGTTTATTTAGATATTCTTTAATGTATCAGCAGAGTTTTCAGTGTATAAGTAATGCATTTCTTTAACGATTTTTATTTGTATATATTTAATACTTTTTGAAACTACTATGAATGTAATTACTTTCTTAATTTCATT